AGGTACAGTACTTTATAAACAATTTTACATTTGATTTTTCTGACAATCCAGTTAGGCAGGCAAGGTATTATTCTTGCCTGCCTATATCCCCCAACTTACAGATGTATGTGAAGTTGTAGATCCACAAGTCATACCCCATATCCTCTGCCTTCATGTATGTCTTTTCACTGTCCTACATCATGTATTAATTTTCATACAGTTTATTTAAAGCAGTCACATTTGTTATCTTCTTTGAGCATTCATACCAGAATTCTATGATCTCTTTTGTGCCTCATTCTGACAGGCAGAGCAACGCATCAGTCCTTTCTTTTAGATGACTCAGTAAGATCAAAGATCTTTCCAAAGATGATAAAACCAAAAAACACTAAAACCACAGCATATCCAGGAGGATGACCAAGCTTACAAAAGATCTGAAAACTACGTAATGTGAAGAGAGGTTGAAGGAATTAAGGATGGTTAACTTTAAAAGGACAAGGCTATGGGGGAAGGGCAGAGGCGCCCACACACACATGTAAACATGTACACACGAAATATGATTAGACATGTGAAGGGCCATCATATAAAGCAATTGCATTTGTGCTGTATGGCCCTAGGGTTTAAAGACAAAGGCAATTCAACACTCATTCAACAAACATTTACTGGTTATCTCCTCTACGCCAGATGCTAGTGCTACACTAGGGAAACAAAGGTGAAAAAGACAACCCGGCCAACCCTCTGGAGGTTGAAACTAGCAGAAGAGATAAGAAAATAAATAATACAAAATAAAAAGTACTCAGGAAACTATGGACACACAGAATGGTGACTAAAACTCTCTTTGGAAGAGGGGGCTGGTGGAGAAAAATTCACTGATTAGCTAAGGAATTTCAGAAGTGGACAAGGTGAGAAGTGGCTTAACAGGAAGAACAGCATGTGCAAAGGCACAGAGACCTGAAGCTGTGTAGTTAATCTGAGTGGTGGAATGCAAGGTGCATGTTAGGGGTGACAAGAGACGAGGCTTTATTGGGTTTGTGGGAACAGAGGTAAAGAATACAAAGGGCCTCATAATCTCCAAGTCATGGAGTTTACGTTCTAACACCCAAGCTACAGAACACTAATGAGAGATTTTAAGTAGGAGAGTGGCATGCTCAGGAAAATATTTCAGAAAGCTCATTCTAGCAGGACAGACTTCTCAAGGGTAACAGTAGAGACAAAGAGACTAATTATTGTTAGTCCAGGTGGGGATAAAGATGAAAAGATACCGATTCAGAGTCAAGAAACAGCTGAGAGGTAAAAAGCAAAAAGAACTATCAGCTATGGGAACAGGGGAAGAGAAGGTCTTCTTGATCTCAACTTGGACAAGTGGATGAACAGTGACGACCAAGGCAGGCAACACAAGACAACTCCATGCAATCATTCCAACAACATGAGAGATGGAGGCCAAGAACTGGTTTGGTTTTTAGAGAAAGAGGATGAGGGAAGCAGAAGGGAAGATGACAGAGTTTAACTCTGGACTTGAGTAATGTAAGATGCCTATTTAGTGAAGGTACCGAGTGGCACGTGAGAAAGAGTAGACTAAGAAGGTCCTTAGCTCACAGGTGGCAACAGTGAGCAGAGAGTACACAGAATAAGCTTTAGATACCAATATTTAATCAGTGAGTGAAAGAAAAGCCTGAAAGACAGATGAAGAATTAATCAGAAGACAGGGAAATGCTGAAGAAGGCAAGAAAAGACGGACAAATGTAAGAAGGGTGGGCAGGGTGAAAGCTACAGTGAAATGTAAGGTATGAAGCACAATTTTCTAACGGAAGTAATTCAATACAGAATGGACTACCCTGTAAGGCAATGAATCACATCATGAAATAAATGGTTCAGGCAGAAGCTATAGAGTCCTCAGTGAAGAATGCCCACTCTAAACAGAGAAGACCTGCATTGCACAGACTGCTGTCATGTCATCTTCCCCAAGGTCCCTACGTATCTTTTCAGTAATCTGCCCTTCTTCACAATACAAGATTGTGTTCCTACTCAATTCCAACCCTCCTCCCTTGCTGACCATTTTCTACCACCAGTCCTTTACTTTTTACTTTTTCCTCCACCTGCATATGTTTCTACGTCTAACCTCAGATGGAAAAATACCTTCCATTTATCCTATTGTCCCTGATATCTATTTTTCTCCACCTTTTACTACTGAACATACCCACTCTCTACCATCTATTCACTATAATATCCTACGAAAAGATTTCTGAGTCTATCACTCTACAAAAATAAAAAAAATAAAACGACTGACAAAGGACACCTGATTTACCGACAGCTCGTCCCAGTTCCTGCTTACTCGGTTCTCCAGTCCCTTGATGTCTTCCGCAGTTTTATGGCAGAACTGACCAACCCCTCCTTATTGCAGTTATTTCTTTCGCTTTTGTAATGAAGCAGAGAGGTTTATAGGAAGCACTCTGGACAGAGAATCAGAAGATCTATGTTCTAGACCCAACCACAACACTAATTACCTGTGCGCCTCCCCACCTCCACTCCTACTCATTCCTCAGATCTCAGTTCTTGTGAGACACCCTAACACCCAGACAAGGTTATGTCCCTCCAGTACCCACTTTCTCAAAACCTATTCTCCTTTGTAGTGCTTATCACAATTTTTAAATTATATAATTAGTAGCTGGATGGCTATCTTTCCTACCCACACACCAGACTGTAAACTCCATGAAGGCAGAGAGCATATGGCTTGCACCTCATCCGTGCAAAATGAAGAGCCTGTCAATTGAGTAAATGTTGAAACAGATGTTAAGACTACTTCCTAAGAGACTGCTTATATTGTTTTTATTATCCTAAGTAATAAAATTACTAACATTTTAGTCACTTACAAAATTATCGATAAAACTTTAAACAAAAGCTCCATCTATTACCTGATACATGGTGAACTACATATGAATTTCCTTATAAAATAGATCATGAGTAACAGGAACTTTTTTCCGAAATAGTTATATTTCTCTTGCCCATCTAAGAGACAGGTGGAGAGTAACCTACATTTCAGCACCAAAATGTGTTCTAAATCGTATGTGGACTGAATGTGCAAATGTAGATTCTGACATAAGTAATGTTTAATTTGACATTAAAACACCGTTGTTTACGTAGCTGTTTAGAGAATACCCACTGGTACTTTAGGTTTAAAGCTGTTCTTTAACACTGGCAAAAGCCATGAGTTACATACACACACTGTGAGGAAATGAAAAGTTTATCAGTCACATTACCTTGTAGTGTGATTTTAAATATTATTTCATATAAATCAGGGAAAAACAAGTACTGGATCAGCGGTAAGACTGCTTTCAAATGTAAAAATTTCATACCTCACACAAGTGAAAGTTTTGTCAAGTTTTATGGTACACCACCTTGGACAAACAATTTTAACAGATTACATGCTAATTTGCCCTTCAACTGCTGAGTGTATCCTGCTCAACAATACCGTAAGGTCCTTCCCGGAAGGCTCGGCATTTTTGTTCGTTGGTCCCCTTAAGTAAATAGGAACACAGGTGATTTCAGTAATCTACAATATCCCAAAACAGATCTGCAAATGGCTTTTGAGGTTCAATATGTTTATACATTGCCATCCGAAAACATAGTGCAAGTACTTAAAATCCGATGCTTAGACAATTCCCTCGGTTAAGAGTGGTTAACAGGCTGTAAATATAGTTGCAATCCCCAGGAAAGGAGAGGCATTTCATAACGGAAACACTAACAGATACGATCACTCCGAGCCGCTCTCCAAGGCGTCCTCATCGTTAAGTCAACACCAGGGGTTGTGGGCAGGCAATTGTGCCCCTCTGACACCCCCGCTCTTCCGCAGACTCCTGCTCCAATCCCCGCGCGAGGAGTCCCTCGAGACCAGCCAGCGCTTCCCCGAGACTTCGGAGGCTGGGAAATCCCTGGCCCGGGAACTAGGAGTTCAAGCCCCCTCCCCTTTCCTTTCCTGAAAATTAATGAATTGGCCATCCGATTGTTTATTTAATGAGGTGTGTAGTGGCCTCTACTGGTGCCAGTGTGAGCACAAGAATGTCCCACTCTTACAAGTGGGATGAGCCTGGGGGAGGGGAGAGCGGCGAGGGGTGAACCTGCCTCCAGGTACAAAGCGCGGAACTAGACCCCGGCGCCCCCGATCTGCCCCCCGGCAGCCGCCCCTCCCCTGGCGGCGCCCCCTCTCGCCCTTCCCCTCCCCACCATGCGCTATCCCCTTTCTCTTCGGCAACCGGAGCCGAGGCAGAGAAGTTCCTGCACGTTTCCTCCAGGATCCTAAACAAAAACACCGCAGCCGCCGGCGCTGGAGCCGGAGCCGCGCCCCCGCGCCCCCCAGGCCCGCGCCCGCCGCTTACCTGGGGATTGCGGCGCGGAGCCGCTCCTGGCAGCCGCGGCGCCAGGCGCCCGGCGCCCAAGCAGCAGCAGGCAGTAGAGCCAGAAGGAGGAGGTGCTGAGGAGTCGCCGGGCTCCCCGCTCCGCCGCCATCTCTTCCCCGAGAGTGAGCGGCGGCGGCGGCGACAGCGCCGCGGAGCCCTTGCCTCCTTGCCTCCCGCGCGCCTCAGCCGGTCCTCGCTGCAGGCTCGGCTCCCGCGGCCGCCGCTGCTCCAGCCCGGCCCGGCCCAGCCCGCGCGGCCCCTCTCGCGGGAGGGGAGACTCGGGGGCGCCTCCCTCCTGCAGGGGGGCGGGGAGGGGAGGAGAGCGGAGAGGGGGAGTCAGTACATTCCGGGGCGGGGGGGTGGATCGGTCTCCAGGTTCCAGGCGCCGCCACCCGCCGCCGACTCCGGCTCTACACACCAGCGCGAGGGGGGCGGAGACCGCGGAAGGCGGGGGCGGGGGGCGGAGGGCGGGAGTCCGGAGTCCCGGGCGCGCGCACGCGCACGCGCGCGCCTCCCTCGCCTGCACCTCCTGGTCTCAGCGCGCGGTCCGCCCCCGCTCCAATCCCGGCTGCCGCCTCGCGGGCCGCAGCGGGCCCGCTCCCCTCCCCCTACTCCCCAGAGCCGCGGACGGGCGCGGGGCGCGCGCGCCGGGCGCTGCTGTTAGTGGCGTCAGGGAAACCCCGGAGAAGCGGATTCTCCTCCTCCTCCCGCCCGCTCGCTGCAGCCCCTCGGCCCCGCGCGCCCCCGCCTCCTCCTCCTCGCCCCGGGAACAAATTCCCCATCTCACCTCCCCAGACGCCTCTGGCTGCGGAGACCTGAGGGCGAGCGGCGCTCCGAGCTCAGGCTGGTCCGCGAGGCCGGTGCGGGCGCGCACCTCTGCTCTGTCGGGGCCTGGAGCCTCTATATAGGGCCTCAGAGGAAACCGAATGGCCTCCGGGAGGAAACCTGGGTGCGCAGAGGGTCGGCGTGGGGATTTATGTGCTCGCCAAAAACAATAGCGATCCCGCCCGGCTCTGGCTGGGCCTGGCGCGGCTCCCGTGGGAGGGGGCCGGCCGTGCTGCCGCTGACCTCCGGCTTCCAGGCCGGGCCGCCCTCGCCGCGCGTTTCCCCCGGGCAGCGCCGGGACCCGCCCGGACCGCGGGGCCCGCGCCCACACCCGCGTCGCTCGGCCCGGGTCCAGGGAACTAGGCGCAGACAAAGGTGCCCGCTGTCCACTTCCTTAGCTCGTGCGGGGGCCCCGACTGAGCCCTGGGACTCCCCGGGGGCAGTCCTCTCGCAGTAACTGCTACGTTTTACCTGTACCTTTGCGGGACACTTGGCGCTTTCCTACCTGGGAATCCCGTCTTTGGCTAATAAACCGGGGAACAAGCGGGATACGATTTTAAAGCACTTAGCAATCGTGAGGCAGCACCCAGGCTACCCAAAGTTAGGAGAAAGCAGTTTGTAGTTCCACCGGTGATGAGACTATTGATCATCACCCATGGAAATTTTTTAAAGAACATTTCTTTGATTATGCAATTAGAGTCATGTTTGGTGGTTAATAGGAGTTCGGTTTTATTCACTCTTCTGTATAGTCGATAACCGAAATATCTTGCTTCCCACAAGAAAAATGACTATTTCACTGACTAACATATCCCTCTGTGCTTTCTCGTAGTTACTTTCTTCAGATATTTTATTCTAAAGCACCAAAATGAATATAAGGCGTGGAACATCGGTAGGGAAGAGCTCAGAATCTTCATGAAACCTCTTAAATCATCAAAACGGTGAAATTAGGAATTTTCATCCCAGTTATTTAATAGAGCAAACACAGGCTTATCGTTCTTCTCTAGGAAAACCATTTAAATACCTTTTTGTTTTGGTTAGAGTTGTGAACCAGCAAAAATATTTCCTAAATACCCGTGATTGACCTGTTAAATTAGAAATAGATTACCTCCCAATTACTTCACAAGTATTTGCTTAATTAACCTTTAATAATCACATCATTATTAAGTTTTTCTGAGATAATTAATGAGAAAAGCTCTTTGGAAACTGTAAATTGCCTTGCAAATGCTAATTTCCTGGTATCTTTTCTAAGTCTGGAAAAATTTCATTATATTAAACCTATAACATGTATAATATGACTTCTGAAATGAAGCTTACATTTACCTCCAAGTTTTGAAAAATATATGAGTTGTGGCTAACAACAGGCTGATTTTTATATATGACTTCTGTGAACTGTCTCACTGATTTATCAGCCCACTGTGTATATCAGGTTTATTTCAAAAAGTTTAAAGTACTTGCATATTTCTAACTTGTGATTAAATCACAATTTTAATAAAACCCACTCTATTAAACCACTAATAGATGGGGCCCCAGATTAAAGCTACAGATTCTGAATCAGTTCAAGATAGTTAAATAAGTCTGGCACACACTTGAATTCAGCTCCTTTGTTTCAAAGTCACTGATACTGTCAACATGCCCTTTAAAAATCATCATTGAGTAATTAACCTGTTCTTTGTCTAGTAAAGCATATCTGAGAAAAGATTTTCTTAGGCATCTCTTTTATCATTCTTATTCTCCCAACAAGATTTTCAACAAATACTTCAGTCTGCACCTATACTGCTAATCAACACTTTTATGTTGTTTAAACTATCAGTCTATGAAGAGATATTAAACCACTCGTGAAATTAACACTTTTTTTATCTAAGTAAAGTTAGAACATGAGGTCCACGTTCAAGGAATAGTGCACAAAGAAACTTTAGAGCAAAGAAAACAGAGTGGCCATTGTGTGTCAGTAAAAGTTATCAAAATGCAGGCCAAAAATAACTAGACCAATATCTTGTGAAATTTATGCTAAGTATATTTTGATATAAAAATTAAATGAAATATTAAAGCCTGTGAATATAAAACTTGGTAGGAATCTTATTCTCTACAGTAAAAGGGTTACTTTTTTCAACATTAGAAAGGACATACAATTCAGTGTTTAATGCTGTCACTAATGAGATTCTGCAGCTGATTCCCTGGCTGAATCCCAGTATCTGAGGTAGAAAAGAAAGCTAGTCCCCTGACTGGCAGATCTCAGGACAGAACACTTCCTAGTCACAGCAGACTTCAACTGCAGGTTGCCCCAGTCTTAAGAAGGTGATTTTCTTCTGCACAGAGATAGATATTTTTCTATATGCCCTTTACATTCCACTAGGTAAGAATTTTTATTTTCTCCCGGTCTCCTTCAAAAGCCACCTGTCCTAGGAGCCATCTCTGATTAAGTGTAATTAAAAAGGATACGTGCTCCTTTTTAACTACAAAGCCTGCTCAATATTAATTTTGCTTGTCACGTGTTGCTTAGTTAATCACATATCTTTAGTTCAACAACAATCTATTAATTCAACAAAAATTATTGAAGACCTGTTTTCACCAAGTATTGTGCTAGATGCTGGGATAACAAAATTATTGGTTCATTCATTTAATATTTATAAAGTACATCCTGTGTCTCTGGTCCTGGCCTGTGTTAAGGGAAGACAGTGATGAGCCAGATGATAAACAAAGTTCCCAGTCTAGCAGAAAGAGTAAACAATTAAAGAAGTATAAGGACTGTTACCGTAAGGAAAGATAAGGAGTGTGGGAAAACTTAGTGAGAGCATCTAACTTGACTAAATTGTGTGTGGGGGTGGGGGGTGGAGAATTAGAAAAGCATTGGCCTCTAAACTGAGACCTGAAGGGAGATAGGAGTCAGCCACGCCTGCAGTTAGGATTTGACCTCAGATTTGCATTTTAGAAGGAACACTCAGGCAGCTTCTTGGAGTATAGTTTGGAAGAAGTCAAGACCAAAAAAAGAGTTCAGATTTTGTTACAGTAGTCTAGGGAGGAGATGATGGTGGCCTGGAGTAAAGCAGAGGGGATTAAGAGAAGGGAACAGATAGGAGAGAGATTTAGGAGATAGATAGAAACAGCAGGGGTGTGTGGGAGAGACAGGAGATGTGGGTGACTCAAGTTTCAACTTGGGCAGCTGAATGAAAGTGGTGGCAATCACTGAGTGGGGAATGAGAAAGAGGAGCAGGTGGGGGGCAATGTTAGTTTAACTTTGGACAAGTAAATTTAAAGTATGTATACATGCATAGGTACTTAAATACATCTGAGTAGAAATATCAGTAAGCCATTCATTACTTGGATCTGGAGTTTAGCAGGGAGATAGGAGTAGAGAGGTGAGTCATCAGCATATTCTACATATGCCTAAGTATAAAGTGCCTCTGAATATAGGTGAGCCTCCATTTTTCCAATTAAAAATCCACTCCACTCCCCCAAGTCCCTCGGTGGCTCATACCTGTAATCCCAGCACTTTGGGAGGCTGAGGCAGGCAAATAGCTTGACCCCAGGAGTTAAGACCAGAGTAGGCAACAGGGCAAAACCCAATCGATACATTGAAAAAAAAAAAATAGCTAGATGTGGTGGCATGCACCTATAGTCTCAGCTACTTAGGAGAGAGGATCGCTTGAGCCTGGGAGGTCAAGGCTGCAGTGAGACATTACTGTGCCATTGTACTTCAGCCTGAGTAACAGCGAGACCATGCCTCAAAAAACAAAAACAACCTCCCCCATAAAAATTTGTGGCCTACTTGAATATATAAACTTTTAGGATATAGATGAAATAACTAGGGCTCTGCAGCTATAAAAAAGAACGAGATCATGACTTTTGCAGGAGCATGGATGGAGCTAGAGGCCATTAATTATCCTCAGCAAACTAGTACATGAACAGAAAACCAAGTATCCTATGTTCTCGCTTATAAGTGGGAGCTAATTGATGAGAACATAAGAACACAAAGAAGGAAGCAGCAGACATTGGAGCCTTCTTTAGGATAGAGGGTGAGAGGAGGGACAGGAACATAAAAAATAACTTTTGGGTACTGGGCTTAATTCCAGGGTGATGAAATAATTCATACAACAAACTCCTGTCACATGAGTTTACCTGTGTAACAAAGCTTCACATAGACCCCCTAAACCTAAAATAAAAGTTAAAGAAATAAGAAAGGAAAAGTTGGGAAAAAAGAAATAATCAGGGCTCTACTTATAATATTTAATGTATTAATTTAATTATGCTTACTTTAAATTACATATTATATAAATATAATTTTTAAATTATTTTATTGAAATTCTTCATAGTGTCTTTATCATCAAAAGTGTCGAATTTTGAGTCTCTAACATAGTTTCCCAGGACATGCCATCTTCACTTCTACCCAAGTTTTTAACTCTATATATAATGCTGTCACTGGGAATTTTATTCCAAGCCATAAGTATCTAATCACACTACATCATTCGTCCTGTAATTATATTCACGTACCATATTGCTTTTTATAGTGACTTTTAAAGACTTGTTTACAAGGACATCCAACACTTCCAAGTGTGAAGATATTTCCCCAGATGTAATTTTAAGGTCTGTGTTCAATTTGTTTCCTTTCTTACCAATTCTGTCAGGTGGCTTTGTATGAGCATTGAATGAGATCATTTCTTGCTAATGTATATTCCCCCAAAAAGCATTTTGTTGTTCAAAATAATTGAGAGCATCCAGTAATATGAAGGACTTTTTTTTTTTTTTTAGACAGGTTCTCACTCTGCTGCCCAGGCTAGAGTGCAGTGACTGGCATAGTCACAGCTCATGCAGCTAAGCATTCCAGGCTCAACCAGCCCTCCCACCTCAGCCTCCCAACTAGCTGGGACTACAGATGCATCCCACCATACCCAACTAGGCTAATTGTTTTGGTTTTTTTGCATAGACAGGGTCTCACTATGTTGCCTAGGCTGGTCTTGAACTCCTGGACTCAAGCAATCTTCCCACCTTAGCCTCCCAAAGTGTTGGGATTATATGTGTGAGCCACCACAACTGGCCATGAAGGACTTTTAAGATCAGAATATTAAGCAACTCCCTGTTTTCTGATTTTGGTGGTAGGAGAGGGCTCTGTTTTATATTCAGGTAGGTACAGAAATGCCAAGAGAGTGGTTGAGATTACCCCAGGAGAGTTTAGGATGGAACTAGGACTGAGGATTGAGGACTGGAACCAAACTGGAAGAACACCAACACATTAAGCATAGAGCAAAAAGAGAAACTTGCAAAGAAACAAGCAGACATGTAACAAAACCAGGAGCAAGTGGTATCACAGAACCCGAGAAAAAGTGTTTCAGGAACACAGAAGGGGTCAATAGTGTCACACACTCTTGAAAGATCAAATAAGGTAAGAGCTAGAAATCATTCATTGTATTTAGTGATAAGGTAGGTAGTCAAGTACAACCTTAGTAAGTTGCAGCAGAGAATAAGGCCACCTACTTGATACGGCTTGTCACTGAGTATGAACTACCTTTTCAAGAAGTTTACCTGTAATAGGAAGAAAAAAATGGCAACTCTAGAATAGATTTTAAGAGCGGAGCAGATTTAAATGCTGATGTAGGGAGCCAACAGAGAGGGAAGTGTTGAAAATTTAAGAGAGAATGGGGATAATTGATAGCTTTAGAAACGGTGCAGTAGATAATTTGGCAGCCGTTATTCTGCAAAGCCCGTGATTATCTGACCTCAGTAGTCTCGGGCAACTGGCAGAAGGCAAAAGAACTTCACAGAACAGAGGCACACCCTGGCCCTGTGGTTTCCAGGCAGGCTTCAACCGTATCTGAGCATGTTTAGTTCTTGTAGTATCTTAATGAATACTGAAAATAAGAGGCAACATCCTGACATTTGCTACCTAGTCCCCTAAAATTCTAGCCTCAAAAGACACATGGCTGGGTCCCAACAGACAGCAGTTGCAAAACATGGCAGGCCAGCTTTCCAGCAAAAATGATAGGATCTTGCTTTTAGGTTATAAGTAACAGAAATCCAATATAAAATACTATCTTAAGCAGAAAGAGATTTAATTAGAAGGACCCTGGCATCCTATGACAGCTGGGCTTTGGGGATGGATCTGGACACTGGAGCACCTTTAAAAAACCAGAAAATCCTCCTTTGGAGAACCTCTTTTCTCTTTGCCATTCTCTGAATCTGTCTCAGCTTTACTCTTGCTGCAGAATGGCTCTCTCTGTGTCCTAGTCCACATGGCAGCAAATGGCTACTACCAACTTAAAATTACCCTGTTACAGCCTGATTCTGACTGCCAGTTCCAATT